CATTATTTCCACTTAATCAAATAAACTAATCAATAAATTGCGCTTGGTGTTCACATCAAAGAGGTTTCTTTATTTACAAGATTATAGTCTCAATGCAAATTGCTCAGAGTAGTTACCGTCTCGGAGCACTTTTCTTCCCTGTGAAGAAAGTAAAAGTCTTTTTACGCTTACGTCTGAACCTATAAGCAGAGAGTAGACGTACTAAACCGTAAACCGAGAAAAACAATAGGTCGACTCAGGCAAATGTAAACAATTTACACAGCCCAAAATTAGTCGCTGTAGTTGAAGGCGATATGCCACCTTTGCGCGACAGAAAATCACCGTTATAAACGAACGCACCTACTTAAGGACGATTCGTACGTTAAGATTACGTCGGTATTACCCTGCCTTAACTCCTTAACTACGCACTTATAATCTCATTACGGAATGTTACTTCTCTCAGGACGTGGCGGCGTACGCCGGCGCGGCGGTGGAGGCGGCGCAGGCGGCGGCGGCGGCGGCGGCGAGGGCGGTCGGGAGCGCGCATTATCGTGGCGTGAACCAACACACAACGCCGCTCGAAAACATCTGAAACGCGGGGCCGCGTCAAAAACGTTTAGGCTGCCGGCGTTGCTGGCGTGGCGGGCGTTTTGCTGGCAAACCGCAGGGTAGTCGGACGCGCGTTGCTTGCGAGCGGGTGGCGGGCGGGCGGTGGGCTGGCGAGCGGGAGCGCGGGCGGGCGGGCAGTGCAGTTCGGTGGCGCGCCGCGCCACACCGCGCCACGCCACCCGCTACACCACGCCTCGCCTCGCCACGCCGTTCTGCGCCGCGCCACCGCGCCGCGTCGCCGTTGTCGCCGTTTCTTTGTTTTGCAATTAGTGGCGTTTAACGCGGTAAATTGGGTGAGACACGCTACTAGCGCTGGTAGATGAAGTGTAATTGACCTGCAAGATCGATAAAGCTCTTTAACGCCATGTAATGGAGTCCACAAACAAGGGCGCGACAGTATACGCCACGGCTGGAATGCCAGGTTAATGGATTTTTAAAGAGCTCTCTGGGGAAAAAAGAGAAAAAAATGTGTGTTTTAGAGTGAGATCTTACGGGATTTTTTTACATTTCAATAACTCCCGGCACGCGCCGAGTGCAATTCAGCAACCTGGCAAGTTTTGCTTGAAAAAAAGGACGACTGGGAGAAAGTTATTTCCTGACAAGGCGGCTACTTGGTTTGATGGTATAATAAGTGCTATAGATATGTGCGAGCCAAATATTTCTCTATCAGCTGTAATAAAAGTGTTAAAAAAGTCGATACTAATTCTTTCGCTTGGTTTTGTTTATGCTTTCAAATGGAAACCAATGGAAACTTGAATACTCGTGGTTCGTCACAAATGAGTTAATAAGCAACTATAGATCATAGCAAATGATTCTGTGAATTACAAGGTGGCGAAGTTTTCAAGGGAGTATATCGACTGAAAAAGTAAAACTTCTCTGTTTTATTTCATTGACTAGGGGCAGTGTTGGGAGGAAAATGACAGAAAAGAAACACATTTTTTACTTCTGTGTTTAGACCGAATTGTTCTTTTGTAAAACAGTGTAAGGTATATTTACGAGTACTTAGAGGTAACGAGATACTTGTTTAGAAATCAATTTTTAGTTTTCAGTGAAAATTATTATTAGTTTCATCCTTACTCATGAAATTATTTCTGCTATCAGCAGCATTATTTTCAAAAGTATTGCGGAAAAGTACTATTTTAGAGCTGCAGAATTCACGACCAACAGGAGAAGCTTGAGATATTAATAGACATCAATTAATTTTATTATAGTTTTGTTGAGGATAATTTAACTTCAACACGTTTACTGGAAATCGACATTACTTTAGCATTAGTGTATGAAATACGCATAGTCCTGCTACATGTATGCATTACTGTTTTTTTTTATTTCCATAACAACCAAGAGAAATGACAACGTCTAAATTTGCATTGTTCTGACATTTTACTCCACAATTACCTTTAGACTGATACTCAATTTCAGTATATTTTAGTCCAATATAAGCGCGTTTTAGTTCAAGCGTATTGTATTTCCTATTGAATATAAATTTCAGAAGCCATCCAATAATTCGCCTGTGAGTGTGATTGTATTATATGAGGAAATATTCAAAATTCATGTCATACAAAATTAAACATCAGCGTACGAGCGAATAATGAATATAGTTTAAATATACAATACATGCAAGATGACAATGGTGATTGAGAGTTGGCCAATATTTTGACATTTGTATAACTCGCATAAACTACATTTTACACCATCTGTCTTAATTACGTGAAATGTAATAACAGATCTTGGACATTTCCACAACAAAATCAAATGGCTTCATGTATCCACTGCCGAATTAGTAATTGATTGATTTAATCATTATGATACAATCCAATATGATACAAATTGGAATCTTTTAGATAAAAGAACGAGAAATTCTTTGTTACAAAACATTATAATTTGCATTTTTTGCGTTCAAATATATTTCCTCCGGTTTCAATCTCATTTCTTTTTTTCATCCACGTTCGAGTACAAATAAATGACATAGCATGTGGCAAAATGTGGAATGAAGAAGAATAGGATAATTTGTGTATACAATAATCAGAGAATCACAAATTCACAATATGCAGAGAATCACAAGCTTATTGCATTACTATTCCGAAAAATATATTATTAATAATTTCGCAATCGATTTTAACGTTCAGAAACAGTAGCTTTTTCCAAACGGAAAACCAAATATTGCCAACATTTATTTATCAACAACATTCTAATTTTTCAGAGTGTCCAGTAGCATTAAAGCAGATGTCTTACTCCACATCCAAGCGAGCCCTACAAACACAGATCGAGAAATAACAAGTCCTTCCAACAACGAGCGCGGCCTCCCCACTCCGCGGTCCCTTCCCGGCGCGGGCTCCGGCCGCCCCCCGCCGCCCGCGCGCGCCCGCCAAAAGGCGGGCGTTCCTCTCCCCATGGCCGGCTTTTCTATTCAAACCCCATCTTCCAATTGTAACGGCGGCGCGGCCAATGGCGGCGCGCGACGTCACGACCGGCCCGCGGAGTGGCAGAACCCGCTCCACCCCCGGCGGGTGGCGCGGCGGGCGGCGGCGCGGCGAACCCGGCTTTGGCGCCTCGCGGGGGCCCGGCGCGGCGAGTGGTTCAGTCGCTGCCGAGGCCTTTTTCGGTGCTAACATCGTGCGTGCGGTCTGGGCGTCCCCCCCGGCCACCACCCGACTCAGCCCGCGCCAGCCGCAGCCGCAGGACGCGGCGGCAGGCGTCTTCGCAGCTCCGCGCCACGCTGCCCTGTCCACCAGCACAGCTGCACGACAGGAGGAGGACTGTCCGCTCCACCCACCGTGTGTGCTGCTGTGTCGTGTGCGCGAGTGTGCTGCTGCTACTTGGGCGAGGCGAGACCAGGCCCCCACGAGGAACCGACGCCACGCACAGATGGACTTCCACGTTGTTGTGACGCGCGAGAAAAACACCAAGTGATTCATTCGAAAATCGCTGAAAGTCGACAGAAGTAAAAAGAAATTGAGCCTGTCGTTTCATAAGAGTCGATTGGTGCGCACCACCGTAATCTTATGACATAATGTGGAAAAATAGCTCATTTTACTTCAATTATCTTTCATTATCTCTATTAAATGAAATTACACTGAGTGCAGGTGGCTTTTTGCGGGCGTGATAGTCCTAATAGGGGATTCCGTTTGTTTATTTGTTTGTGTGTAGCAGTACCAATAGTAGTCGCTCGGCATAGGGAAGTACAAATTTTATCCAAATTATCTCGAAGATAATGGTGTTGAGGTGACATTGCCCTGAAGACTCGAGCATCTGTTTCACGTCGTTAGTGGATGTTTTTAGACAGCAACGGCAACAACAATCATGTTCAACGCTAGAGGAAAGCTATACGTTTGTAGGTAGAATCTAGTCAATTTACGGCGAGTTCAATTTTCTTCAGCTGAACGAACACGTTGACTGACATCTGCTACCACGAGCCAGCGAGTGTCGCTACCGTCGAGTGCTGTGATTGAGACTCGTTCTGCGTTATTTTCTGCTTCATCATCAGTGCCAGTGCAAGAGCGATTGCGGGCGACTTCGTCAGTGGAGATAGACAATGCTTTAACTCCACGCGGACATTGTTTACAGTCGGGAGCCAACCGCCGCCGAGGGTGCCTAGGCCGTGAGGAGCAGCGTGCGCCGGAGTGTCGGGTGCGTCGTGCAGAGCCGATTTCGGGTGCGGGGTCAGCGCGTGCACGTGTTCCGGGCAGGCGTCCGCAGGCGCAGTTGCCGTCGCAGTCGCGCTCGCAACGGCCGTCGTCCAGGGCGGCCGGAGGCCACGCCAGTAACATTCTATGGTCGGGCCAGCCGATCGCTGAGCGGCGCTCGTCCCCTCGCCCACCGCCCCCGCAAAGCCTCTCGACGGCAGCTTTACAGCTACAGCCGACGCACGCGGCGGCGGCGCACGCACACTCCTACTGGAAGAGCGCCCTCACAATAGTGCCGGTGTCCACTTTGACGACCGTGGCCTTCCTCGCTCGCCGACCTGTAAACGGCCACCCGCAGCCCGGGGGCGGGAGCTCCGCCCCGGGAACGCCGACCCGAACATGTGGACGACACCCTGACCGGCCACGCCCGGGCCAGCACCACGGCCACCACACGCCGGGCAACGGCTCCACCACGCCAGGCGTCGCCGACCTGGCCACCAGCACGGCGAACCCAGCCGGCGGGGTCGTCTCCAACAGCGTGCCAACAAGTCGGCGTTCATCGAGCTGCAGCAGCACGCGGCGCCTACAACCCCATCCGCTACCACCCGCACCACTTCCAGCAGGGCCCCGGCGGCCGGCGCGGGCGCGGGGTGGCGGCGCGGGGGCGGGGCTGGGCCGCCTTCAGCACAGCACCACCGACCGGCCGCCGCCGAACGCCGCCGCCCCCGGTCGCGGACTTCGGCTCGCCGCGCACCGCCGCTCGGGCCGTACCACGTTCCCGACCAGCACGCAGAACACGTACACGGGCTACCACCTGGGCTCGTACGCGCCGCAGTGCCCGTCGCCGCCTAAAGACGGTGAGTGCACGCCGCCCCCACGAGCACCGCCCCCTCGCGACGTAGTGGCCCCTCGCCGCGAGCCCCGCGCCAGCCCGTCCGCGAGGCGGCCCGGCCCCCAAGGGAACGCCCGGTCGAGGCTTCCGTTCCGGCGAGCTCGCGCTCCTTTCAGCCGCTGGAATCTGCGTGACACATGCTACGGTTCCGGGGCCTGTGCGCCCCGCGGACTTTCGATACACGCACTTGCGGGAGCCGAGCTCGCGAGCCGCTTGCAGAGGGTTCAGTTGCGGGTGTACTTTCTCTAGGCGGCTCCTTAGGAGTCGTTGCTGCTTTACTTGTCAGAGGAACAGGAATGCTGTGGACATAGAGTTTGTAGCTTGCCTCACGGGCGAGTGGGAAGGCTTCCTGTCATATTGAGTTTGAAGTAAATACAATATTTGAGAACTTCATACTCAATTATTTCTTAATTAATGTAATGAGCCTGTTTTTTATACTTATGGGAATATGTCTTTTATTCTCAATAAATAGCTGATATTTCATTAGATTTGGGACAATTTTAGGGTTTGATGCGCTGTGCAAAAACAAAAAAATATAGTATGTTTCTATGTCAATGAAAGTTCTGCAATCGAGGAACTCATACAAACATTGATTGCCCATATATTATAAAACAAACATTTGCTCATGTTTTCTGTTTCAAAGGAATGAAATGGGATGCAATATTTACGTACAATACTATGAATCATGCTCCTCATTACAACTTTTGAAATGTTTCCTATTAATATGCAATTGCGTGATTACTATTTGCATTCACATTCAAATATTTACTCGGAATATGAATGGTGTTCCTAGTCACTATGTTACCTTTTTTCTCAAATAATAATGCATTTTAAGTGTATTACATATTTTTGTCTATCATTGTTCATGTGCACAATCATCCTAATGCGATAAATTTTTGCATAAGCATCTTAAATATACCAGTAAACTGCAAAATACGCGAGTGAAAATGTATAAATTAAATAACTGTGAAGAATAAAGACTTGGTTTAATATCATTTAAAATAAACATGCAAATATTTCACGGCTAAATTTACCGAGAATTTCCGCCAAAATCTCCAATTATGGGAGTTTTTTTAAAATTTTGTGTCTAATAGTCCTCGAGACTTCTCTCTTTGGATCAGAAAGTACATGTAACGCTTTGATATGTGTTACCACAGCTGAATTCTGTTAAGAAGGAAGTTTCCACTAACTGGTGTGAGACGATCAAAAAAATTTTTGTTAAGTCGGAATTTCGTGACGCCGACCGAAACGGTTTGCGTGGGGCCGCGTGCTACGTGCGACGCGCGGCGAGGGGCCACTTGAAATATGTGTTTCGGATGTTCCCTGATTATTCGCATCTATTGTGTTCAGTTCCTGTGATTTCTATTAGCGTGGGTGGCGATTGCTCCTCTGTTTCACGCTCGGCTTGCCCTTTCATGTGGTTGTCTATCGGGGCGTACGGTTTTGTGTAGCCTACGCAATGAGGCGAGTTATTCTTTCTCAGATTCGTGGTGATTATTAGATTTATGTATTGTAGCACTGTTTTGTGTTCTGGAAATGTGTGATGTGTTTAGAACGCACAACTGTGTTTCGTAGCAGAGCCCAAGATCGCAATCTGCCTTTTGAAAGTGTGCCTGCGTGAAATTGTTGAGTACGATCTACGTTACAGTTGACGATAAAACCACAAATCAGGAAAGCTTCCTGAGAATTTATCTTAATAGCAGTCAGGGCCGTGTCGTTGTTTTTCCCTCTTTTCCGTGAGCCGTTTACGCAGTTTTCATAGGCGTTAAGGAGTTATTGTTCACGCCGTTTCTATATTGCGCTTCTGATCTTAAGTAGTGAGAGGTTATGAGCAAAGAAAACTATTTGTGTTGGGAACCTCTTGAAAAGTAACTGGTGAATTATTGAAACGTTTTATTGAGGAAATCAACAATTTCACAAAACGAATCCTGTCTTTGTTCTTAATTCGAACCACAGTGTTTTACCAGCGCCACTGAACAGTACATTTTTTACTACTCCGTAATATTTATAGATGATTATTTCAGTGCGGTTAGTTTTTTTAATACATTCGTTTTTGAGTGTGAAGCAACAATTCAGTATGACATTTCATTTGACAAAAATCATTTTTGTTGGCGTTGAATGCGTTTGCGTAACTGTTTTGTATTTTTATCATGGATCACTACACCAGGGGGTCTTTTATCTCAACAAAGTTCATTCTTCTTTAGAATTCTCAGTAAGGAAATACCAACACGCTTTCGAAGAAAAAATCTGAAAAAATAAAGGAATAAGAATTTTATGTTTTCGAAGAAATGTTCTTTCTTTTGCGTGTGGACGGCTTTCCTGGTATCAACACACTTTCCTAATAAACTTAAGGGATGCAATCTGTATGCGTCCTGGCTAGCTTTTATTACTTCAGCATTTGCTTGTGAACGTAGTGATGAAGCAATATTTCAATGTGCCCTTAGCGACATATTTTTATTTTAATTAGTATGTCGCGCTTAGAGGATATGAACAAATGGCATATTTTACGCGCGCATAATTATATTTGCTCTTTGCATTTGATCCTCACGAATTTTGTAGTAGTCCTGAACAATGAAAAAGTTACTCAAAAAGTGACTTATGAGTGCTTATATTGAGTAAGAAAAATTTTGCGTTACTTGTATACTTAACGCAAATAATAGTATGTTCGAATCATATCAAAGATGTATACGGTATTATTTAACTTTTCCCTAGAGTTCAACTTACAATTTGTCTAAGTTTCACATAAAGAAAAAAAATATTTTGATTTTATTTAATTCTTTCAATAAAATAAGGTTTCGTACAGTATACTCCTACACTGGCTGTTAACTGAAACGTAAATCATGCCTCGACAACCCAAAGATTTCCCCTTCGAATATATTGTAACTCATAAAGATGGTGGAAGGTAGTAATTTTATTTCCGAGATTTACGTGTTCATAAGGTGTGAACATATCTCCCCACCGAACAAATAATAAGATCTCCCGTCCACAGATACGCGCTCGGTTTTGTTGTCTTTTTGGCAAGCCGCCGTCAATTTGACTGCCTCGGCCTCGTCCCGACCATCGGCACGAGCATCTCCCGCAATAACGCTAACATAATATCCTCGCGCTCCCGCGCGCCGCGCGACTCGATCGCGCGGGGCGCCGCGGCGCGCCGCCGCCCGAGCGACAGATAGCGTCGGGATCGCCGCGAGATAACGCGAGGTGCGTGGCGAATTCGGGAATTGTGAGAATTTCCTCTCTCTCTCTCTCTCTCTCTCTCTCTCTCTCTCTCTCTCTCTCTCTCTGTCTGCCTCGTGCTTCGGCGCGGAGGGTGAGGCGATGGCGCGATAGTGACGGACGGCGCGGCGCCGCGATGCGAGCGGGCGGGCTGGGCCGGCGGCGGGCGAACGGACGGGCGGGCGGGTGAGCGAACGGGCGAGCGGGCGACCGGACCCGCGGCGCCGCGGCGCGTGGCCATCCCAACGCCCCGGCGTCTCCGCGCACCATCCGTGCTCCCAACGGACGCACGGGCTCTTGAGCGAGCGGGGAAGGAGGTTGTTAGGGGGGCGTGAAGAATAGCAGGCGCTAACGTTAGTGTTCCTAATGCTTATAGAAACTCTAGAATGGTGCGGGTTGAATTTGTGAATTTATTTAATAAGAGAGGAATTTTTTTATTAAGTTGCGTGTGTAATGCACACAACACGTCTATTTAATACTATCTGTGTTAATACTAAGAGAGATTTGTAGTGTTGTGAATTCGAGTTAAAGACTAGCTTAATTCGAGATAAAGACTAGCTAGAATTAATTTTGGATATTGCACAGTAATTATTCTCATTGAGTTTTTCATGTACGATGCATAAAAGAAAACGCGTTGTCCCAGATTTATAGTTTCAGATATGATTGTGCATTTACCAGTGATATTAGAGATTGGTGTCGCATATGAAGCGCGATATGTGTATAAATTACTATTTTAGCTGTTCGGAATGTAGGAACCATTCTTTCTTGTTTTGACGCCATCGATACGTAACAGCGCCATAATCAATTAATATTTTGAGTTTCTCTGAATTGCAGCATAACTTCCTCCGTAAATGTGATTAACCATAATGTGAATTGTATTAAATATTTTTAACGCAGAATATTAAAACTAGGCCTTGCCATTAATTTCTCGTACATTTTTATTTGAACACAATTTATTTGATGAGTCAAAGAATTAAAAGCGCGGTAGTATTTCTGTTCGTTCTATGAAGACATCTGGAGGGACATGTCACAAAAGGCCTTTATTATAATACCATTCCGAATTCCTTGCCACCCTGTAGCCTCAATGCCTAAATAACGAAATGTAAAGAACTTAATTTTAAGAACCACGAAGCGCAGATACGAAAAGACAACGCAAACAGAGTACTTTTACACCTGCACTGCGCTCATTCCGCTTCCTTCTCATTATCTGTAAGCGCCTACGTCCTCGCGCACAAGAAGATTTTCTAAGAGAATTTTAATAAACGAATATTTCTGTTATTTACGAGTTCCGCTGGAGGACGAAACAAAGAGAGACCGTGCTACGCGCTGCCTTAAGACACTGCGTGACGCGCGTCTTAATGATTCTGAAGATGAAATAAGTGCTGCTGCGACGCTCGCATTCCTGTCTTTGTGCAATATACATTAAGATTGCTTTGAGTTATCCGTTTATGAGTCTGTGCTCTCTCATGAATTTTCTTAGTAACTCAGCCTGAGTCACGCCACTCCTTCATACTGCGATGAAATAAAGACAATTCCAATGGTGGTTTTGTGTGTTTTTCGTGAACATTAATATTATTGAAGATTTTGTCTTAGGCTTTTTTCGTATAAACAATTCTTCAAAAATTGAGGTATATTGGATTTCACTGATTACTGAAACGAAGTGTTTTGAAAACGTTTCCTTGACGTTAAAACGGTATGGTTGTGCAGCATGGAACATGCATTTCTACATAGTGATTGCACGTACATTTG